TGATTGCTTTGAATGCAATCACTGCTATTGAGGAAATTTTATCTGACGAGACAGTAGTTTTGTCAGATACTTCATCAGCCCTTGCTGATCTGGAGAGGGTCCTGAATTCGGATTGCGAATCAGGTGACATTAATCCTGGTTCCCAATCCGGTGGGGAGCTTGAAGATTCTATTGTCAAAGAATCGGAAAGTTTCCTTTCTCTGGACATTGAGGCGGAGTTAAGTCCCTCTGGGATGATAGTTTTAGATGAGTGGAATTTGGCGGATGAAGAGGGGGTGAAGCCCACTAATGACTTAGCCAGTCAGGTGTATGAGGGCTCTGTAGAGGTTGCGGCAGGGCCAGAGACTGAGACAGGCACCACGTTGCCTGATTTGTCTCTTCTCCTGAGCTCTGCCGACGAGGACTCAAAAGTCCCTCCTTCTGATTTATTTTCTGAACACAGTAGGTAAAAGAAAAAATTATTTCCAGTAATTTGTTTGGTTACCAACCTTTATTTCGTTATTATTACCTGTTTATTTTATTGCAGGTTTTGAATTGGCACACGAGGATTTAAACATCTCGGCTATTACCGGCTATTACCGATTACCGATTACTGGAAAAAGTTTAAAAAACAGGTATTTGCGCCTGTGGTGACGTCACATAGACTGCCCGCACTACACGCCTGTAGCGCATGGTAGCCTAGTACGCAGGCGTTTTTGACATTATTTAATTTTTTCAGTGATCGCGTCACCGCTACCTGGCACGCTACATAGTTTTGGATAGGGCACGGTACGGCCTACGTATTGGCAAAAACATTATGTTTGATTTTGCTAATTTCGGCTGCCAGGAGCGAGCCGCACGGCCCGCGACGTTTGGGCCCCTGGAGACGCCCGGTCAGTCACGACCTCGGATTCACCATGTCGGATGTGAAGTAGGACCCATAGGGTCATACTTCAGACCCGAGCCGTCACCTTTGACCCCACCGTGTCAGCACGGCAGAGCCGACAAGGTGTCGGGTCACCGCGTGCCAATTTCGAGCCCGCTCGGAAAATCGCGATGCGGGTCGGGTAAACGTTATCGCACAGGGCTCAAACTTTGCACAGGGTCTCTACTAGGTCTAATCTATCATTAAATGTGCGTACCTCCGAAATCGCCGACTTCGACTACCAAAATGAGATGACCTACGGCTACGCTCTATGAAAACGATCGGCCTTAGGCAGAGCATATTCACGCGAGCACGCCGCTACTTCTACCACCCAAGCAGCCAAGGTTTCGAACGGAAAATTCTTCAAGGTATAAAGATATAACGAGCACTAGTAAACGAACGATTGCCAAGTCGATATTTTGGCTACTACCGTCCGGCAGGCGTTGGAAATCCCTGAACTACATTATTCAGTAGTTTGTAGCGCTCTCCAAAGAAGGCATTCGGGTAATCATAATGGACAAAATGCTTCTACTGAAGATAACACATTGATAATCGGTGTAATCATGCTTTCAGGACGAACCGTTAAACCACATCATGGAGGCTGCTGCATGCAATATTTGTGCACAACATGAAGCAGTTTGTCACCCTCCCTATATATATTTTTAAGTTCTTTTATGTCAACCCTGGCGAAAGCAGAGAGTTATAAGACTGTTTTCAGAAACATCTCAATGCGAGTTACACATTAGTTTTTGGGACGTTTCTGAAAAACGTCCTACATGCAGTTTATACACGCTCTTTCTGAAGGGTCGAAAACTGTGGGGAAACGTGCTGCTTTGAGTTTTGAGAGAGTTTTCAGGCAGTTTCTGTAACGGTAGGCATCGAGTTATCAACCAGTTTCCATAGAGTTTCTGTCGGTGAGCATCGAGTTTTTAACTAGTTTCCAGAGAGTTTCCAGAGAGTTTCTGTAACGGTAGGCCTCGAGCGTTTACAACGTTTCTCGTGCGTTTCGGAGTCCGGTGTGTGAATCTTGGGAGAATATATTTGCAAACAATAGTAATTTCTATTGCTTGCTTGATATATTTTTTAATTTTAAAATGCCGATGTTAAAAAAAATGAAAATAATCATTTGATTTGCGGATGTTTGCTCCGATGCTCGCATCGAGGCGGCTGCCCCTTTGCTATTTCGGATTCCTACGGTCATCCGAGTTGGTC